TTTGCATGTAGTTCTGTTTTCCCTGGGTCACTTGGGTATAAAGAGGAAGATTTATTTCACTTCTCTGTATTTCTCCAAAGAATCGTGAATTTAAACCTCGATGTTTTAAAATCTGGGAACGTCTCATGCTCATAATATGAGCTACTTTGCAATTACTGTTTAGTTTAACAGACACTGGGGTTTTGCTTACCCACATTTTGCTGAAAGCTTGCCCTTTCGGTTCTAGGACAGCAGAAACTTGAATCCCTTATCTGGAAAGCTCCCTCCACGTGGCTTCCACCGACTGAAGAGGAAGAAAACAAGTTGACAGGTATAGAAATGATGTCACGGTGATTCTGCACTGCTGTCACGTGACCATCACGATTCATGCCAAGCCGAGCAGGGGCTTTCAGAGTTTTGGGAGCCTTGATTTAGGGTTTCTAGGCCAGTGGTGGTACACCTGTGTAGCATGTGCCACCGTAGGCTGCTTGTTGTCACTGGAAGCTGTGGAAGGTTCTCCATCACTTCCCTGTGAATCGAGAGGCCAGAGCTCGTGAATGGTGGAGGCAGGGTTTAAACTGATGGCTGGACTCTAATTTGACTTCAGTCTTCCCCCTCCTCAGTTGAAAAGCGGTCTCTTGGGCCAGGGTGTAGCGCCTCTGTCCGGTGCTGGCTGAGCGTGATGAGGCCCTAGGCTCGACCTGCAGCTCCAAACGATTAAAGAAGGAAAGGGTGTCTTAGGTTTGCAATCATTCCAAAAGCAGAGGTTAGAATATCTGCCTGGTGAAAATATCAGACAAACTGCAAGACCGCTACTGAGCTCCTCTGCGGGCCATCCTGGGTATCATTAGCGCCCTGCGAGCTGGGCCTATTCCCTGAGCTCCTTGGTTCACGGGGGGCCACCTCTCCACTGTGGGTGCCCACGCCCCAGAAGCCAGCCTCAGTGGTGGCTGTGGCCCCAATGCCAAGGAGGTCCATGGCACAGCATGATGCTCAGGGCCATCGGACCTGCATTCCTTAGCGTGTGACTCCTTTGGCCTCACTGAGAATGATACTGTGTCACATCAGCCCAGACTCTTCGAGGTCCTTATGCCGCAAGATGAGAGTGAGGCGCGTATGTTGTTCCTCAGCGGTTAATGCATCTGTAGCCTGGAAAGAGGAAGAAGTGGGAATCAAAGCCGCCCTGCCTCTGCATGCCAAACACCAGGCACTCGGTGCTTCCTCGGTGCCGAGCACTTTGCAAACATTATTCCAGCCTACAGGACGGTGGCATCACCCCCACTTTACAAATGAGGAAGCTGAGGCTCAGGGAGTCGATGCCACTGCCCAGAGCCATGCTGCTGGTAATGAATGACATAATTGCAGTTTGCACCTGCATGTTTACCCTGTAGCCTGGCCTTGCTCCTCCCTGCACAGAGAACGGTCGCAGGTTCTGGAGTGTGGGCCTCTTGTGGAGAGAATCAGCCTTGGGGGCATCTGGGAAAAGTGAAAAGTGAGGAGCAGATGGCATGAGTGGAGCACTTCTTGTGGTCGCTGTTGTGTGACCAAGGCCAGCACCACGTAGCCACGTTAGTGGTGGCTCTCAGCTCGGCAGAGGTGTGGTTTTCATGGGAAGAGGACTCAGGCTTGCAGAGCTCTTGCCCCTTTCACGGCACCCC